ATTCAAGGCACGTTGTGCCAAAATTATTTTCACTGTTTACTGATCCACTGGTGGCATCATACTGGCAATGTCTCCCAGAACTGTCGGTGTGGAAAAAAAACACATCATTTTGCCAGAATGGCACTGTGATATCTTTTCCCTTGATACCTCGGATGTCAATGTATTCTACAGTCTTACAGACTTTAGCCCCAGTAAAACTCAAGATGTCTACACTTGAAATCTTGGCTCTCAAGTAGTCTCGATAATCGACACCATGAACAGGAAAACTTGACGTCACTCTGACATGTGTTGATTGGTCTGAAATGGATTTCATCCGACCAAAACCTAAACGATAGTTTTCCCAGTTTGGATTATTATTCTGCCTTACTTTGTCTTTGGTAAAAGAAACCGAACAGAATCCCTCGTTGTGTCTGTTCTTGTGGGCATACGAGAGGATAAGAGTCCATGCAGATCCAGGCTCTGAGCTGAGATCACACCAGACTTTGTATGTACCCCCACTCCTGTTTGTGATGTCATAGATGCCGTTCTGAGTCAGTCCACTCCGAAGGTAATCAAGACAAGACTTGGCATCCTAGAGTAGAAAACGACGGATGCCTTAATCGCTTTGCTTAGTGTTTACGCGACAATTATAAATGACAAATCCAGTCATAGCGAAAGGTCGTATATTTTCGTTATTCTTATTTTGAGTTTAAAATAGTTATTATGAAGACTCGTATTTTAGTTCTACTTTAGAATATTTTAAAGATATCGTTTTCATTCTCAACGTACAAATTTATTAAGATATTACYGTGGCGGATCCAGGACTTTAAGAGGGGGAGAGGAATGGAGGGGGGGTTCATATTTGCAAACCTCGGCACAACAATAACGTTCTCTTGCACCATCATTTTTCCCATGAGGCACATCACTGGCCTAGGGGCGCTCCTGATAAGGATAACCTATCCAACAGTCCCATTTCATATTAAATCTCATGAGTTAGTACCATACTTTTATTTATTTATTTATTTCAAAAAATATAAAAAATCCAAGGTACCAGCCGGTGTGGGGGTTCATTTGCACCCAATGAACCCCCCCTAAATCCGCTACAGTATTAGCCCTCAGTTGTTGGATTTTAGGGTTCCCTTTTATATACTACTTTGAACAAGAAACTATTGTTTATTGCTACACGTCGGGGTAACAGAAAAAATGAACCCTTTGCAATTAAAACTAAATGGTTCATGGCTAGTGATTTGGTGAAATTCCAATGGATTTGGCGGTAATGTTTTCGCCACGGCGTGCGCGCACTCTACCGTCATATCTCTGGATCCTCCCTACAAAGCTGATTGAGCTTTTATTTAGCAAATCGATGTCCCTTTTCTATGGTGTGTACTCTTATCGAACATGGAAYGGCGTCAGCATATGATCCAAACTTTGCAGTGAAACGAACGCTGCGCTTGTGGTTCCACTTGAGCTTGGATCATATGCTGACGCCATTCCATATTCGATAAGTGTACACACCATACACGACATTTACTAACACGCATTTTTTCGTCCTTTTTATTGATCAAAACAACCAAACGAAACGTGTTAAAGTAAGAAAACACGCCTATAAACCTAACATTTTTTAAACGTAAGCAAACAGCGTTTAGCGTGCGCAGTATGCGTGTGCAAAAAAACAAACGATGGGAAATGTAATCCTTAAAATATCATCCAGCGGTGCCTATGATGGTGACAAGCATGGATACCTGGAATTCCTTCTCTTAGTTAATTTTCTCTTGAAAGAAACCTAAGATGTTGTCATGCTCCAATAGGAAAGACAACGGAAATTTGTATAGGAAATCGCACGATCTCGAGTACAATTTGGAAATTAATAGACACGAGTAATGTTTTGAAAGTTCTTRTAATTGCACGAGACTTTAGGCGAGTGCAATTAAAGAACTTTTAAAACATTACGAGTGTCTATTATTTCCAAATTGTACGAGAAGATCGTGTGATTTTTTGTTTGTAGTTCACTCAACAAAATTTCAGTAAAAATTCGAAGCGACGCCATTCATCTTTGTCTATTTGGCGGCCGATTTTCAGTCCATCGCGCAACTGAAATACATAAAAAAGATTAGTTCTTACGGCTTTAAAATTTTATTTGTTTTTTAAGTACAAAATGATAGAAAATTATTGATTTGACATTGTGTTGGCTTTGTTGCCATAGCGACTTAATTCGGTACTCCTCTCGACCAATCAGAGGCGAGTAATTTTGTTGAGTGTACTATAAGACAAAAATATAGATATTAAATCATAAAAAATAAATAAATAAATAAAAGAAAAGAAATAAGGTCATAACTCAAAAATATATATCTCCAATCGACCAGAGATATCAAACTCAGTGCATAATCTCTGTGAATTTGCTATCTACGATTCATTGTGTTATTCTAATTACCTCTGTTTGTGCATCATAGTAGTGGATGTACAGAGCATTGTCCTGATAAGATCCTGGGTCGGATTTTCTGGTAGCGTTGTTCAGCTCACAGACATCCTTGTCATCAGCCCCTTTTGGTTTGTAGTTGTACGACAAACACTGGGCATTGCTTGTACATAGAAAACTACAATCAACTGGTGATACCACGTGATGGCTTGATATCACGTGACCAGTAAGTACTTTCCCTAAACATTTTAGAAAGAAAAGAAAGAAGACAAAAAGAAAAGTTATTTCATTAGCAGTTATCAATTTATTTCCTTTGCTCTAAAAAATATGAGAGCACGATTTTTAGCGAGAGTTACAGCGCGATTTCCAAAAGTATGTTCAGCGATAATGTATTCGCATACTTTTATGCACGGGGTTTTGTATATAAAAGCGACACGTTTCAATGCGAAGCTGGCTGCTTTTACCAAATAAGGTAAAGTGTAAAAGCTCATTTGGCAGCAAAAACCATGTACAAATACATGAATATGTTTCGTAGTTTTTCGCGTCTTGCTGTAAATACCAGCTGTTAATCTGTGAAAAGGGTCACTGGAAGACCTTGCTCGGCACTTTCGAGCTGAAGAAGAAATGAAGAAAGGATGATGCCTCTGTGCCGTCATCCCAGTAACTAAATGGTTGCTAGTAAATACCCTCATAATTAGTATATGTAATAGGACTCCATGCTGTCCAATTAAGAAATAATTGGACAAGAAAAACTCCGAGGACTTCCAAAATTGGATGAGGTCGTAGGCCGAGTTCAATTTGGCAGTCAGAGGAATTTTTCGAGTCTAATTATTTCTTGATTGGGGAGCATGAAATCCCATTACCTATTAATTATATAGCTGCCTAATTAATCCCATATCAACAAGACCTGCATGTCCAATTAATGATGGTAATTGAACTGAGTGGAGTGCAATTTGGACCAAAATCATACGAGTGATTACAAAATTGCATGACCGCGTAGCGGGAGTGCAATTTGTTAATCACAAGTATGATTTTGGTCCAAAATTGCACGACACGAAGTTCAGTTACCACTTAATCATATCCTTTTTGTAATCATACACAAGAAAAAGACACAATAAAGAGTGCAGAATAATCAATTTAATGTAGTAGAAGAACTAAATGCGAACAAAAAAAAAAAACCATCTAAAAACATTTTTTTTGTTGATTTTTTTGTTTTATTTTGTTGTTTAAAAAATATATTTTTTAGGATGCGATTAAGAGCTCCTAAGGATGCGATTTGGGAATTAATCGCACTCCTTTGAACCAATGAGATAGCAGGATTTGGTAATGATTACAAAAAGGATATGATTAAGAAAATAAATGGTCAGTTACATATATGGGATTAATGAGAAGCTGTATCATTAAAAATCAAACTAAACATTATATTTTGATATCTTATACTTTTATATTTTATTGTGTCAGTATTTTTTTAAAAATTTGATTCTTTTATTTTGTATTTGTTTGGTTGTTTGTTCTGGAAAGAAAATTTGCCATAAATTGACAAACTGCTCACTAGAATGTTCTAAATAAAAATGCATGTGTGCTAGTTATTTTAAAGGAAATTTTAATTAGTTGATTCATTTTGAAATCCATTTAAGGCTGCCAATAGACTTTTATTCTGGCACTTTTCCCTTGAATTTAACGTAATTAGCTTACCAAGCAATTCAAAAGTCAAAAGCTCTTACTGTGGATTTAATTTGTATGTACAGATTAGAAGTACATTTATTTGGCAGTGCATCAAAACACAGCGGACGGTAACTCTTCAAAAGTATAGCCAATCTTTAAAACTTAGGGCCCGGTTGTACGAAGCCTCTACAACGGTATCAGACGGATAAATATTATCCACTGGATCAATTTATTGGAAAACAGCATCGATTTATCCACTGGATAAGGATTTATCTGCCCGGGATAGCGCTATCCAGGCTTCGTAGAACGGGGCCCAGAATCCAGAATGATAAATTCAGCTGTTAAATGGCTTTTATAGCCTAGCGGCTGTGGACGGCCTGCGAGGGGTGTTCAAACTCACACAAACATTCAAACGGTCTTCCTTTTCTTCTAATTTCTCTTTTTATTTTGAAATAAGGAAGGACAACAAAAAGCTAATATTGCTGATAGCAACAAATAGGTCATTCAAACTACCAAAGAAACTAATATCGTTGACTTGAATTCTTAAACTTAAATTAGAGATAACTTGAATATAATATGAAAATTTCTAGCTGCTAAATAAATTTAAATGTTCTTACAGTTCTCGACGTCTTTTTGTTTTTGTTTTTTTGTTTTGTTTTTGTTTGCCCTGGTCGTAGATTTGGTTGTTAGCGTGTCGACTGAATGAAGTTGCTTTCCACTTGTTCAACGCTTTGCCTTTCTGTTACTTCAGTTATCACGTCTTTAAAGACAAGCTGTTTCGTGATCAGGGACTGAAGCATTTAAGGTATTAGGATACGAAAAATGACGAATTGCTCGAAAAATTTTTTTTTTAAATTTCATAATTTTAAACTGTTATCTTTCATATGTTTGTGAAACTTCTTGCAATTTTTGATTGGAAAAGCCAAAATTTTGAGAAAAATCGAAATCGTGACTTTATCAAGACCGGAAATGTACCGTCGCTTAATATATGCACATCTGTCATGCTACTTTGTCATCGTAAAAAGATCCTACATTGCGATCGTCCAGAACACCAGATAATTTGACAAGTGATGACAAAATGGAAGGCTCAAGATGTTTTGGCTAACACCATCGTGGCTCCCTGCAGCTTACGGCTCCAAACAAAGAAATGTGTTTTTCTCGAATCTTTTTTGCCGCTAAAACCTCAACTTCAAAAAGCTAAAAGTCCCTTGGATTTCATTCGATTTTTTTTAAATTTGGAGGGTTTATAAAGTAACTCATGATCCAAACAAGGGTGTCTCCGAAATTTGAAATTTAATTTCTTTCCAAAGTTATGACGCTTTTTACTTTAAACAACACTCCAAAAGCAATCGTCGAACTTTGATCAAAAATAGCGAGAGATAGAAAACAGATATCAAAAATCTGGGACAGCCTTTTTGAGCTTATTATCTCCTGAGTATGTTAAGCCATTTTTCGCAAACATAGCTTAAAATGTACGTGTCCGTTAACGTTTTCACTGAGGCATGGTCAAATTTCGCTTCGAGGGCAATAATGTGAACAACAATAAAAAAAATCGTATTTTGAAAATTTCTTCATAAACTATATTTACTCAGCTTTTTTGTGTTATACTATAAAGCCAGCGCGTTATTTAAGTTTGCGCGCATAGTGGTCGTAAATGTATCCTAATACCTTAAAAGCATTTTAAAAAGTCGAAGAAAATAAGTTAAGAAAATCACACTTTCTTAACTCTATTACTTAGAACACCTTAAGCCGCTCAAACTAATACACCAACCTACCTTTCTCTAATTGAAGAAGTCCTCTTTTAAACTGCTGTTGCCGAACAAATGCCACACTTTTGGTAAAAAGAAAAGAACAAATGAAGAGGAAAAAAGCTTGTTTCATTTTGGGCATCTTTCAACAACAAAAAAGCCTGTATAGTTTTGTGATGCAGTAACTATGGAAGGACGATGATAATCAAAAACTTCTCAAAAATTGAAATTCCGTCCAACAGCTGCTTGTCAATCGGGAAACAAATTCAGTATTTCCATTGGACAATATCATTATAAATTTTATTCCCTATCACACTTCTGATTGGCTAAAAGCCTTCAGCCAATCCCTGGTATCGTGCGAACTTGACATGATAATTTTTTTATCATTCGGCTTTGGCAAAAACCTGCTTGCTTGCTTGCCCCTAACAAAGCATATTTTGCTCTAAGATACTGAGCGAAAAATGTTCTCAATGATTTAGCCACCAGACCCATATTAAAATTAAAATAATAAATGAAATAAAAAATAAAATAAAATAAAATGAAATGAAAT